CTATACAAATGCAGGCCATTTACCCAACAGCTGATTTCTGTTTTATCATTCCGACTGTCAGATCAGAAAGTGAAGGTGCCTGCTTTCAACATCAGAGCTTTGCTGCCTACGCGTTTGGATGAGTATTATCGCTACGACGGCTCACTGACGACTCCTCCGTGCTATCCGAGTGTCCTGTGGACGGTGTTCAGGAATCCTATAACAGTTTCTCGCAAACAGGTGCTTCAGCAACTGAAGTGACTTTTAACCAGGTTTAATATTAGAATAAGAAAGCAGTTGCAAAAAATCTTTAAGATGTGCCAGTGTGGCGTCTTTCTCTCATTTAAACTTTATTGGTGTGGAAAAGCCTTTGTGCTAAACTTGCTTTTGTTTTGCTGTGCTTTATTTAGTTTCTGACCCTAGCAACAGCGCTCTACTCCACAAATGCCCAGGACTCAGCCTCTATGTCGCTGAATAACAACTACAGGAAAACACAGCCTGTTGACAATCGGCTCGTCTTGGCATCTTTCAAAGAACGTAAGTATGGTCTACAAACATGGCTTGCTTTATTACCTGAGCATGGGTGAAAATGTCACATAAGCGACATGGCTGCTGCGCTGCTTTAAAAAAAAGGCTGAAAGACACATTTGAATGAATTGAGGGCTTTTATTCTGCTGCAGAGATTACAGCTGTCACGCTGGCTTTGGCTTGTATGGTGTAACCTGCTTGTGGCTTAGATTTGATGCTGATCATTTTTAAATTTGATTGAGCTTGATGAACTTGTCTGGAAGTACGCCATCTTTTAAGACATGTTGATTTAACCACTCCTCTGACATGCTGAAAACATCTGCAGCCCTTAAATTTGTCCCTAAAGTCTGACTTTTATGTGGTTGCCTGGTGTACCGCAATGTATGGTATTTAGGTCCATATTGTGTGGTATGAATGTGCATGGTTTCCTCAAAGCTTTCCACACAGAGCTATGCTTTCCTAATGAGACGTGCTGTGACATGGCAGTGTGAAATCCCATGCTATGAGCTTCTCAGAAGCGCTAGCTAGCAGACAGTAGCTTGAGCTTTTACTGTATCGCTATGAGCAGCGCTGTTGCATGGTGGGCTTGAAGATCCATCATCGTCCAAATGAGTATCCAGCTTGCGGGGATGTTTAACAACATTGGCTCTGTGTCTGATGCAGGCAGAGGACTGCATGGTACTCTTACAGTTACATCTCCATTAACAAGAAAGCAAATCATACAGCAGCTACTGGTTGGCGACTTAGGAGACCTGGCTGATGAAGACCTGTACAAGCTCCTACCAAGTGGTTCAGAGAAACACCATGCTGGCAAAAAGAAAGACCTCAAAACCCAGCAGAGTGAGAGACTGGCCAAATCCAAACAACAAACGCTGAATCCATCCCTTGGGAAGAAAAGCCAGGCCAACCGCCATGTGGGAAAACTCAGGCTAGCAGAAAACACACTGAGCTACGTCTCACTGGAGCAGAGAGTTTCCCGCCAGCTCAAACAATCCCATGCTGAGAATCAGATGGTTCAGGCTCTTAGAGATGCAGTTTTCCCTGAGCTTAACCTAAAAAGCTACCTAGAGTGCAGATCAGACTTAGCTCTCCCTACCATCAGGTATATCCTCCAGGGACGGCCAACAGATGAGGCTACTGAGTTAAATCATTCCCTGACTAAAGCCATGATGAATCAAAGGAAGACTTCCACAGCATTGGAGAAAGACGTGCCAATGACACAATATAATGGTCATTCCACTGCTACTGTTTCCAGGAAACCACAAAGCCAGGGTTATCCACATCCTTGGCTTTTGCCTATGGAGTGGGAAGACTAGAAAGATGCCTGGCATTGTTGAAACTCAGTGTGACTTTCTGTAGCAGACATCAGTTGTGTGTCCCACAATGACAGCCAAATTTCCAAGCCACGCCCTGCATTCTTTTAACCAGTTTATGCTTTATGTACGTCATATTACAATTTTACTTTCCTGTGTGTGCACATATTTGTAGTTTTCAGAAACGTTAACAGTTTTTCTTTGTCACAGATTTTGTTTGTTTGTTTTTTGCACAAAATCAATCGGACGCAAAACCAGTGCCCAACAGTGACTGTCCTCAGTATAATGATAGGACTATCTCAGTGTGTATATTTTTGCTCTGAAAATATATATATTATTTTATTTTAAATTTGTTAGTACTTTTGGTATCTTTGCCCACATTTGCCTGGCTAAGCAATGCTTTTCAATAAATTATAAAAAATGACAAGTTTCCTGTGTGAAAATCTTTACGTGTCAACTTGTACGAGTGGGAGATGTCAAGGACCATTTAAAGTGTTTTACTGGATGCCAAGCTCAGTCCTATAGTATGGTAATTCTGGAGCCATGCTTGTAATTATTGTCGTACACAATGTAGAAATGTGGCTAAACCAAAAGAATTTCTTTTGAGCTAACATGATTTTTAGATCTTTGCAGGGTAACGGAAGTTTTTTACATTTCACTTCTATATTTATATAAAATAATAAAGAATTAAAGGTTTTCAGTTGCACATCTATGAACAGAATTTAATGCTTAAATAGGAGAAATGACAGCAAGTTATTAGACTACATTATGTTTATTTTGCATGCCACGAAAAAGAAGTGTGTACTTTGTAGATTCTGCACCTTAACTATCTAGAGGAGGATTGAACAAGTAGTCAAATTAAAAATGTTGAGGGTTAACTAGTTAAGATAAAGTTTTAGACTGAGCTTGTGTATTTAAAATTCTGACTTGATCCACGTCACAGCACAGAGGATTTCTTCTTTTTCCTTCATCTGGTCCCAAAAGGGAACCACTACACACCCTCTAAATGTCCTCCTCCACCACATCCATGAATATTCTCTATGGTTGTTCTCCTTTCCTCCTGTCTGGCATCTTCAGCATCCATTGTCAAATATATCCCCTATCCCTCCTCTGCACATGTCCAAGCCATCTCAGCTGTCTCTCTCTGACTTTGTCTCCAAACCACTCAACCTGAGCTGTCCCTCTGATGTAATTATTTGTAATCCTACCCACCCTGGTCACTCCTAGCGAATTTTACCGTCTTCAACTTAGCCATGTCCAGCTCTGCCCTCTGTCTTTTTAAGGATACCACTGTTTCCATACAATACATCATGGATCTCACTACTATTTTTGTAAAGCTTCCCTCTCAATCTTGCATCTTTGTGTCACAAATCATCTCAGATACTTGTCTCCACCCACTCCACCACCCTGCCTGCACTCTGTTCTCCACCTTTTGTAGACCACCCATTGCTTTTTGTATGGCTGACCCCAGGTATTTATATTCATCCACCTTCTCTATTCCTTGCATCTTCACCATTACATCTGTCTCATCGTCATTCACAGATAATTCATTTATTCATTATATACATTTTTTCAGATGGGTCAATGGGCTGCGGGAGAAATTTGAGAGGAACAAAAATTCCAGTGTTTGTGTCATATGAGTGTCTGTTTCTCCTATGAAAACTACTGAAATGTAATTATTTCCCCTCTATTATCAGTCATGGGTCGCCCTTTCACTATTTTCCTTATCTGAGTTAAAATCTGTTAAAATGCATTTTCATTATTTCTCTCTCTCTCTCTGTTACTCAGATGACCTCTCTTGGATAAACACTGGTATGTTGCTTTAGGCTCAGTAAACATTTTTTAAACAGACATGTATAATCATGTTAAGCCACAATACATAACATGAAGGTTTTATAATAATAATTTATAAATTATTTAAGTATTTCTTAGATCACTAAACACATCTAAGTCTAAAAGTAAAGCCTTATTATTAAGACTTACTAAGTATTGATTTCTGTTCGTTTATGATATGTCGCATGAAAATCCAAGTTTATATTTAGGTCTCTGAAATATGAACATACCCCATTAGAAATTGTTATTTAACAATAATTGCCACTTATGACAAAATATATATTTATGCTGCTCTGCAGGTTTACTGGTTCCCATACTGGTGAGCTGTACACTGGGACTTGTTTTCATTGTCACCTTGATGTGCTGCATATTAAGGCAAAAAAGGTAGGTAAAGGGCAAAATCACAGAAAACATCCCTTGCTGAACAATAACTTATTGTATGCATTTTGTTTTTTAACTAAACCACATCTGCTCTGCTTGATTATTTCCATTCCTCGAACAATGTTGTCAAGGCGCTCAAACCTGGTTTGCCCCACACTTTTTAAGGAAGTCTAAATATCTAACAAGAATTTGACTGGCTTGTTATATGACTGGATATGGAGCCTGGAATACAAAGTACACAACACTATGTAAATTTGACACATTGAGACAGATTGCTTTAACTGACAATCAAATATAGAGTTTAAAAGTCCAGGAGTTGATGATAGTGGTTGTGCCCTCGTTAAATGGATTTTATAGGTGGGAAACGTGTGTGCATTCACTTGTGCCACTCTTAGTCACTCCTTGGCAGTGTGACAACACATGAATCATAAACCCATTTTTGTGCAGTTATGGTTTTCTATAAACAACTAGTAGGACACTAGACAATTTTTATGGGGTTACTTTGTAACTTATTATGTAATTTTTGTGATACATAGTTACAAATACATGAAAATGATTGACCTAGAAAAACAAGCATGTAGAATTTTATGGCTAGAGGAAGTAATGTTATAGCTGTTTTTAAATTCTGATAACTTCCACACTGATGAGGAGTGATATGTGAGTATACTACTGCATTCATACTTTTAGATATGGAAAACAATATTAGTTTAAATATGTAACGATAGGTTAGTAATGACCAGAGGGGAGAAATGGACCGACGTATCTACAGCACTTTTCTTGCTGACCACTCAAAGCAGTTAAAGTGAAACTTAAATATGTTCATACAGCACTTTATTCTTTGTGTTTTTAATCACTTTCTATACCTCAAATCACCAATTAATCTAAGGTGCATATCTTTGGACTGTGAAGGTAATACCAAAGTATCTTGGGAAAATCTATCCACACACAGGAACAGCATGCAAACGCCACACAGGCTGCAACTATCCAGGATGTTCAAACTGAGCTCCTTATTGTTGTGAGGCTCAGCCGTGCTGACAATGCCTTCCAAAACACATAAATGCAGTCTTTTGGAGACGAAAGGCTATGTCACAGTCTCATTCCAAATTGCATCCTGGAAGGGATTGAAAGGTGTTTAACGTTACATCTTTGTCTAAATGCTCCCCCCATCATTTCTTACACCTCACTGGTAACTATAACTGTTTCTTTAAAGCACAGTATCACCTGTTGTTGTTTTTAGAGCTGCTGCTGAACGAGACAAAGGCATGCATGTTGGATACAATACTGGAGACAAGGACGAGTATGGCTCAAGAGTATAACTCCTTGTTCTGATTCACACTTCAAAGGAGCTCAGAAACTTCAACATCCTTGAGACTTTTGTCCCTTTGCATCACTCACTTTATTTATTTTTTGCCCCATGGGTCACTTTGGAGATTTATAAAGGCATGCAAGGTTTAATCACATCACATAATAAAGTTTGCATGTGGCTCTAGGGTTTTGGGAAGTACTTTTTTCTCTCAAGCCACAATCTGGAGTCCTTTTGCTGTGTTGTGGCAGGCAGAAGATGGTAGGCCTTCATGCTGGATGTTTTAAACTGCATGCAAGAGGAACAACTGTCCTCTTTAATTCCACTTTATTTATCTGACGTGATGTGGTGTGTTTCCTAAGGAGAGCTTCACACAGAGTCTACCAGGCAAGAGCCAAGAGCTGAACTGGTGAAAATCTCAGTTCAAGTCAGATCATGGCACCCATTCCCTAGGGCTTGGTGAAAAGCCCAACCACAGTTCAAACAATAGGGGGATAGGATTTGACAGACATCTCTGATGATAGGATGGCCCTAGAGGGATGGGCTATACCACAATTCCAACAACCCTGTACTTACAGTTGCTTTATGGATTTCATAATAAAAGGGTGCTTAGCTTCATTCAAACACAGCTTCTTCATTGTGAAAAATGTTGAGGAAAAAAAGGCTTTTGTGTTTTCAGCCACTCGTGGGCTGACCCCTAACCCTCTGTCCGGCAGTCGGATCACAAGACTAACTCCCCAGCAGTCCTGATAGCTTCTTAGTTGGCCTGTAGGCTGTACAGTTAACCACAGGACTGCTGGAAAGTTAAAATGTTATCCTCATCAGGTTTCCCTTAGCCTTTCTTCATGCCATTCTTTTGTATAATTTGAGATGAGTTATTGCTTTGTGTATTTTACGGACGTAGTCAGTTCCATCTTCCTGCAGTAGTAATGACCATGTGGAGCTGTTAATGCCTGGTTAAAGCGTGTTTGTCTGGTGAAAGCTGTAATGTGTGGAGGTGATGGATGAAATGGAAATCATATCAGAATAATGGACTGGACCAAGCCTTTGTGTGAAAACTGTGGTCCCCAAAATCAAGCTATGACATGAGCATTCTGGAGAATTGCTACAACCCCCTGTGCATTAACATACTTATTGCATAGAAGGTGACACATACTATAAAGCAAATAAGTACATTTTAGAATGTTTAGACTGATTAAAAAACCCGTGTAAATGAGAAGTACAATATTAAAGCAAAATAAGCATGAGGTGATTCGTTTTGTCACAATAAAATGCTCCCTCAGTGTGTCAGGTCTTTAACACATTAACATATTTTTTCTTGTAATTGTTACTCATTTATTTATTTTGTCTGCTCATCACATTTTATTCTTGTTATACTGTTTTGTTTTGTTTGGGATTTAAAAAAAATAAATAAATGCACCATTACATGTGTCAAGATGCATTGGCAGATGGTATGTCTGTCATAGTGAGCTATACAATTTTTTGTGTACAACAAATGCAGACAAAACTCATCATTAAAAATGTTCAAATACAATCTGTCTTACATTTTTGAGTCAATCTGCCTTTCGTGATTTCTTAAAGAATAAAACGTGTTCGTTGTTGCCAGGGTTTTTCTTTTTGGACAATAGTGACATCTAGCGGATAATTCCTTCAAGTGCAATAATAAAACCTTATTACTTCCGGGGTCTCGTGTGAAGAATGAGCTAATTTTTCACATCAAGTCCAGCTCTTCTCGGTGCTGCAGCTGCAAGTCTGCGAGCGTTTGGTTGCTTTTGTCATCATGTATCACCTGCCTGTGCTGAAGAACAGGCGCACTCTCCTCGAGAGAGCAGAGAAATTCATCTCGGATATTTACTTCACTGACTGCAATCTGAGAGGACGGTAAGGTTTCTTTCATTCAGCTGGAGAATCCGAATTTAACGATGTAGTACAGCGGAGATAAAGTTGTTGCTTTCTGTTACCTTATACGTCAGCGTGAGTCTCCGTGACTGCAAAATACTGCGAGGGGAAAATGCAATTTATTTAGCCCATTGCATTTATACAGAGAGTTGTTTTCTTAATAACTGTGGAAAGCATGTATGCAATACATATTGCAGGCAACATTGCGTTAAGTGTCCCAGTAGTTATGATGCATTAGAGTACAACCTCCTTTAAGTTTAATGCACTTTTTTCACTTTTCTCTATTATAAAAATTCAAAATGTGACTTTACCACAAAAAAGGCTGCTGTAGTTTAACTGATATTTTCATCAGTCACACAGCCAGTATGAAAGGACTTTCTGATTTTAGAGTCTCAGTATGAAGGTATTTTAAAGCTTCAACGTGGAAATGGAGATTATGATTTATGATTATGGATTTCTATGAATTTTAAATGGTTTGGTCTTCCCAGGCTTTATGGAGACTCTTGCCCCCTGGTATCACTTGCCTGTTTCCTCACCCCTAAGCGGATCACGTTCGCAGAAGCTTCCAAACAGATCTTTGACCCATGTAAAGTTGGCGATACTTTTGGACCAACGTAAGCAAGATTAACAGATTTTTATCACTCATTTATTATTCCCTCTGATCTTGGCACTAATTCAAGTATGATGATTGTTGAAGGTGGTGGACTTGCTGGTTTAAAGTCACTTTGAAAATCCCAGAGTCCTGGAGAGGAAAAGCGGTTCATCTTCTGTGGGAAAGTGATGGAGAAGCAATGGTTTGGAGAGACGAGCAGCCTGTTCAGGTAACGCAGCGGCAGATTTATTTAAAGGCAAAAGTGCAGAAATATTCTGCTTAACCTCCATCTTATCCATGCTGTTTGTATTTGTAGGGCCTGACTAAAGAGGGTGAAAAGACGAGCTACATCCTCTCGGAGTGTCTGCAGGATGAGGAGCCGCACAGGTGAGTTGATCTGATCTTATTTTTGCTGAATCAGCAGCAACCACATCTTTTAGACAGCTTTAATCCCAAATTTACGCATGTCTGCGTCTCTGTTTAGTCTCACCCTGTATGTGGAAATGGCCTGCAACGGGCTTTTTGGAGCTGGTCAGGGCTCTCAGATTGCACCTCCAGATCCAAACCGGAAGTTTTCTGTACAGAGAGCTGACCTAGTTGTATTCAACGGGGATGTAAGAGAGCTGCTGACAGACTTTGAGATGCTTGTTGACATTGTAAAGGTACTATCAACCAAAAATAGTGCATGATGATACATGATGATACATTACTAAAAACATTGTAAGCCAAACATGACATTCTGTACTCTTCTTCACAGGAGCTTGGAGAGGAAGAGCAGCGAGGCTACCAGGCGCTCTTCACTGTCAATGAGATGGTGAACCTCTGTGACCCCTCTGACCCCAGTTCTTTTGCTAAAGTACATAGTCTGGCAGGCACCTTCTTCAACCAGCGGAATGGAGAAAGCCAGCATACTGTCCATGCAATTGGTCACTGCCACATAGACTCGGGTAATGTTTTTATTTTAGGTTTGATTAAGTCCTGGTTGAGTCCACCTGGCCAGACAAAGTGTTGCTCTTTTCCCAAAGATGACCAGTTCCACCGCAGTCCAAAATGCAATGAAAATTGTAGGGTGAGCTTTGCCAAAGTAACAAACAAAACAATCCAGACTATGAGAAGAAAGAATTCAGAGGGGGTTGCAGCAATTCAGAAACTAGGGCTCTATCCACAAAGCAGGTTTAACTAACAACTCGACGTAAGATGAGGGAAACTCAGGTTTTCTTTTCCAGAAAGAGAGGTCATTTCAACAATGAGTCAGTTACCAAGGTAACAGACTCAGAACCAGCTGACCCGGCTGGCTGACACTGATTCATTTCGTCATTCATGGTGCCAAACTGTGTAGCGGAGTGAATTAAACTGCAGAAGTTTACATTTTTACAAACACCTAAATGCTATTTCGTATACTTAACCATAGTGATTTTAAAGTCATTCAGTCTTCAGTATATGAGGTCGGATAGCTAATTATGTCACAGATTTATAATCAGCTCAGAATAAAATCTGTGTGTCTATGAGTCTAACTCTGTGGACATTAATGGTGTCAGATTGTCAGTCTCCTTGTACCGCAGACATTTACTGTATGTTACTGTAGCAGTCACAGTTTAACAATGATGTGCATAAAGCTTTAGAGGCACAACACACTGGTCAGTGATCAGTCATTTGTCGTGTTTGTAATCTGTTGCACTGACTGAAAATATGTATGACCGCTGGAATTTTAGAGATGATGTGAACATTTGATTGAAGATGAGCAATGCAGCCTGCAGAGAGTTTGATTGCACTCTGATGATTTCATGTTGAAATTTGCTCACATGTTGAGATTCAGACATTAAACGGTGTTAACATTTTGAAAGGTATGGTGTCTGAAATTTAAGCCTTCAGGTGATTCCCAGGATTCATCTGAAGGTATCATTGGCTCTGTAACGGCTCTGGATCAGGCCTAGATCCACTTCGGCTCCGGTCATTTCCCAGCTCATCCTGCCTGGAAATGTTATGGCTTTATTTTTCCCCAACATGATCTGTGATTTTTATTTAAAACGACTCATCCTCACAAAACAAATTAATATCTATAACAGCTGAGACATTTCGTATAACATGTTTGCCTTTACTGATAAAACTTTTAACATTTATTAAAGACTTGGAAAGAGTTCATCCTCTCAGAGTTCATTCTTAAACTCAGAGCTTGTTCTACTGCCTTCCTGGAATAGAGCCCAGGACTATTCACAGCAGATATTTTCAATATATACGACAGATCTCAAGTCGGCACTGCTCTCCTCACCTTAAGTAATAATCACTATACTTTAACGTGGATGGAAAATGTCAATGCCACTTACAATATGCTGCTTAAAATGTGATGGTGATGGTGGACCTGCTGTAATAAAACTACAACTCTAGTTCCAAAACAGTCAAAATACTGTTTAAATGTAGATAAAAACAGAATTCGATGGTTCGCAAATCTTGTAAACCTGTATTTTATTAATGAACTTTATAGTAGCAGCATGTCTCGAATAAATTAGGACTGGGGCCAGGAAAAGGCTGGAAAAGTAAGCGGTACTAAAAAGAAACGGCACGGTCTTGTTAGGAGCAAGTAAATATGGAAGAGGAAATTATTGTTTATGTGCTGATCTGGCTGCTTGTGAATAAGGAAGCAGCTGAAAAAATCTATGTAATCAGTTTTTTTGGCCAGTCATCAGTTGTCCTCTGAAACTCAGCACACTGGGGAAACTCACAAAGACAGGGTGAACAGCACCACCTTCGGGTAGAGATGGAGAATACCCACAGTCTGACCACATTTACAAATTATAATCCAGGTGGATAACAAGCATTTATACAACATCAGTAACAGTACTGTGAAATCGATGAAAAAAATGTAAGAAATAGATTTCCATAGGTAATATAGATTTTGTATTATTTTTCAATATACAAAATGTGGAAATCGAATAGTCAGTTAAGTTCAAATACTAACAATAATTATGATTCTTTACCCATAGCCTGGTTGTGGCCCTATGAGGAGACCATTAGAAAATGTGGCCGAAGTTGGGTGACAGTGATTCGTTTAATGGAGAAGAACCCAGAGTTCGTCTTTACCTGCTCTCAGGTAATTTCACACTAACATAGCTTCACATGTCTCGTAAGGCTTCTGAATATCTGAGCAGTCCCCTCCAGTTTTGACTGTTTTGTTTTTGTGCAGGCCCAGCAGTTCCAGTGGGTAAAGAGCTGGTACCCTGGACTCTTCTCCTCAATTCAGCACTATGTGAAGAAAGGACAGTTCATTCCAGTTGGAGGCACGTGGGTGGAAATGGTAAACTTCATCTTAAAAGTAAAGGCAATACTATATATCATGTAAACTGCCTTGATATATTTGACATATTTGCCTGTTAGGATGGAAATCTGCCTTCGGGTGAGTCCATGGTCCGGCAGTTCCTGGAGGGCCAGCGTTTCTTTAACAAAGAGTTTGGGAGGTATTGCAAAGAGGTATGAACTCATAAGAGTTAACCTTTCTGGCAGTTATCAGCTACATTTCTTGAGGCTTTTTGATTTTGTTTTGATTTGATTTAATGTGAATTTTTTTAATGTCCCACAGTTCTGGCTTCCTGATACGTTTGGCTACTCTGCTCAGCTTCCGCAAATAATGCAGGGCTGTGGCATTTCCAACTTTTTGACCCAGAAGCTAAGCTGGAATTTGGTCAACACCTTTCCTGTAAGTGCACGTCTCCCACAGTGCACGTCTGTAAAAACAGTTGAAGGTTTTCGTTTTTCAGTCTTTATTTCTCTTTCTCAAAGCACAACACGTTTTTCTGGGAAGGCCTGGATGGCTCGACAGTTTTAACTCACTTCCCACCTGGAAATTCCTACGAAATGAAAGGCAAGGTCGAAGATGTAAGTTAGATTAAAGTATCCAAAACACGGTGAATGCTGAGTCTGTTCTCATAAAAGATTTAATTCAGTGGGAACTTTCTCTGCCCACAGCTGGTAAAAACTCTGAAAAATAACAAAGACAAGGGCAGAGCCAATCACAGCGCAGCACTCTTTGGTTTTGGCGACGGTGGTGGCGGACCCACACAGCTCATGCTAGACAGACTGCGCCTTGTTCAGGACACAAATGGACTTCCTAAGTCAGTTCCTGTCTCTTACATTAACGTGTAATTCATTAATAACAATGACCAAGGCCCAGAAATGATCCAGAAACACTTCTCTTGATTGATTTAGTCATGACTCTTCTTTTGTCATTTCCAGGAGTTTTTAAAGGGAAGGGTGTGTAAATCAGACTGATTCAAGCTTGTTTAAGTAAAAAAAAAAGGATGAGTTATGTCTAGCTATGTCATTGTGTTATTTTTACAAAATAGTACAGTAGATTAAATTTCAATAGAGTCATTGAGTCATTCAGTATTTGCGTCATAATAACTAACAAAGGTTTAACCAGAGATGTCATAGCTCGTGCTCATCTCTCCAGAGTCCAGATGTCCACTCCTGATGAGCTTTTCACTCGGCTGCAGGCTGACTCAGCTCTGCTGTGCACGTGGGCGGGGGAGCTCTTTCTGGAGCTACACAATGGAACATACACCACACAGGCACAGGTAGAATAATAGTTATAGTCGTCATTATATTGTCCACAACTTGTTCATCTGTGTGGAAAAGAAAACAGATGGAAAACAGAGAGTGACCACAGTAATACTATTTGTAATAAAAAAAATTATATGTATATATATTTTCTTACAGTAGGTTTACATATGATAGCGGCTTTGACAATTAGGTAGACTGTGTGGGAAGCTGCTTAGATCACTATACAGTCATGATTGTTTAATATATTTATAAGGAATAGTTAATTATTATGATAGAGAAGCTAGATAAGATACACAAGAGTATATAAAGGGATTTAAGAACTATTACCTGTAGAACAGAACATAATCCTGCTTAGTACAGTGATTCATGCAAAGTTTATACCTTACATCTATAAAATTATACTTCAATTCAAAAATATTTCATGTGTTTGATTGCTGTATGTCATTTTAATTGCCTGCCTTTTTTTTTTTTTTAAGATAAAAAGAGGAAACCGCCAGTGTGAGACGCTGCTTCATGATATTGAGATAGCCAGCAGCTTGGCGCTGTACCGCAACAACACGTTTCCATACCCTGCTGAGAAACTGCAAGAGCTCTGGAGGTTCAAACACAATCTTTATCGGACTAAACACTGTGGGTCTTTGTGTCTGCAGGTTGAAAATGTGTTGGTAATTTCGCCTTTGCAGGCTGCTTCTACTGAACCAGTTTCACGACGTGATTCCTGGCAGCTGTATAGAGATGGTGGTGGAGGATGCTCTGAAATATTATGAAGGTGAGTTTTTACAGCTTTTAATTGCAGCTTAAATCAGCGCAGTGCTTATTTACCGTTTCCAGAAAGTTTTCAATGTTAACTATTTAATTAGCATAATATGTTGGGAAATTTCTAATTTGAGCTATTTGTATTTATTAGAGCTTTTGTAACTTTGTAACATATTGTAATATTTAATTTCGTTTAGATGGTTACTGTTCTTACTGACCTGGAGCGCTGTGCCCCCATCATTTCCTCTGGGATTAATAAAGTATTCACATTCTGATTCACACATCCTGTCTCAGATATCCGCAGTGGGGGTGCTGCACTTCTGCGTGACGCATGTGAAGCCCTGGTGGCAAAAGGCAGCTCCATGGCCGTGTTCAATTCTCTGCCTTGGGAACGTCTTGAAGTTGTCCAGATTCAAGAGGGAGCTGAAAAAAGTGGTCTAGGTTTGTTGTGCATTTCCAGTATATCTATATTGTGCTCCTCACACAATAAACTTCATATCTGACGTTCACTGTTATGTGTGGCACTATAGCTCTGGTGAGAGCTTCCAGCATCGGTGTGTCTCCCGTGAAAGACACACCGCCAGTGACTCCGGTTTCTGTCACCGTTCAGGTGTGTGCTACATATAGAAAGATGATTGCATAAATTTCATCTATTTTGCCATTTGATTTAGTTAACTGTGTGAAATTGTAGGCTGATGGCACAGTCGTCATGGAGAATGGTCTTTTAAAGACAGCCGTAAACAGAGATGGCACTTTGGCATCGCTGTGTTTGATCAGCGCAAACAGGTAAGATGTGTAAAAGGTGCATATTGTCTACTACTGCACTTGCAACAGTGAGTTTCTCACCACTGTGTTGATTTCAGGGAAAGCATTTCTGATGGTTGCCTTGGGAACCAGTTTGTCATGTTTGACGATGTCCCTCTGTACTGGGACGCATGGGATGTAATGGACTACCATCTCCAGACAAGGTTTCAGCCATTGCTGTCAAATGCATTTAAGTTCAAATATTTCATTACTGTTCAGTATATCAGTATCATAAAACTAACAGAAAAAACAAACTCAATAGGAAACCAGTGGCAGAGGTGGTGCAGCCAGTTCATGTGGTGTCACCAGGCGGACTGCGGGGCAGTGTCAGCTTCACCCTGAGGATCAGTGATAAGAGCACAATCACACAGGAGATTATCATGGATGCCATGTGTCCTTACATCAAGTTCAGCACAGAAGTAGGCTGTAATGTTTCGGAAATGTGGCATTAAGGCATGTAAGATTTATTTTTCAGCATACCAAAAAACATGACGCGTCTTCCAATTTCAGGTTCAGTGGGCAGAATCTCACAAGTTTCTCAAGGTTGAATTTCCTGTGCGAGTTCGCAGCCCCAATGCTACCTACGAGATCCAGTTTGGCCACTTGCAGAGACCCACTCATCGCAACACTTCGTGGGACTGGGCTAAATTCGAGGTACGACACTGTAAAGCTGTGTTCACCTTAAAATTCACAGATTTTCACTGTTATGTCACACTTCACTGCTGTAACAAAAGTGCTACTCGTGGATGTCATTGTGTCATCCGTTTCCTTTCTCAGGTTTGGGGCCACAAATGGGCCGACTTGTCAGAGCACAATTTTGGAGTCTCACTGCTGAACGACTGCAAATACGGCTACTCTGTGCACAAGAACACAATGACTCTTTCCCTGTGAGGTTCCCATTGTTCATTTACAACACTCCTACAAGCAGTACAATTCAGGCATACAACATTTTAACTCCTGCATCTCACTTTATCTCAGACTGAGAGCACCCAAGTCCCCAGATGCCACTGCTGACATGGGGATTCATCACTTCACATATGCAATCATGCCACACACAAGTAAGTTATACTGTTTTTGTTTTCCTTTTGATGTGATCTTGGAAATAAAGCTTAAACCCAGTACGTTTGGTTATTTGTGTCTAATGTAATATTGTGCTGTTTGTATAGGATCCTTCCAAGAAGCCTCTGTCATCCAGTGTGCCTACAACCTCAATTTCCCTCTGAGGTTAATCCAGTGCAGCCCCGACACTGTGCCCTGGAGTGCCTTTTCTGTGACCTCTCAAGCTGTCGTACTGGAGACAATAAAGCAGGTATCAAAGTGAACAGTCAGATCTGTATCGTCTTGCGTGGGAACTTTAGACTGCCCTTCCTGAAAACAATGAGCTCGTTTTATTCGCTTTTTAATCATTTACCACAACAGGCTGAGGACAGAGGTGGGGTGCTCGTAGTCCGCCTTTACGAGTCGCGTGGGAGCAGCGTGACTGCAACTCTGAGAACCGCACTTCCAGTCAGGGAAGCTTGGGTGTAAGTGTTTCTATTTTAGTTTGGTGGTTTTTCTTTTTCCTGTGTTGTATGAGTAAAGCTTTGTCTTTTCCTCTTTTAGCTGTGACCTCCTGGAGAAGCAAGACCCCAACCAGCCAGTACCGGTTACATCAGAAGGAATCACTCTGGACTTCAACCCCTTTCAGATTGTCTCACTATTGCTGATCATGTGATAACATGTGGGATTTCATTAAGCGTTACGGAAATGGAATACGGATCAACACTTAGACATTACATGAAAGCTAAAGATTACATTGAATTGGCTGCTGTTTTACTAACAGTTTACGAGGACACTTCATGTGATTGGTACTGTTTATACGCTGTTTAAAAGTAATTTGATTTGATTATTTTGTATCAAATTAATAAACAATTTGTACAAAATGTTTTGAAGAAACTTTTTATTAATAAAAAAGGATTTTTAATAGTATAAAATCATAAGTGTCCAAAGTGGGGGTGCCTCTTCTTTTACCATCCTACCTGGTCGTTCTCATGGTTCGTCTCTGTGACCCTGCAACAAGGACAGCTATGAGATAAATCAGTTTTCATTCCTCCCCACTAGATAAAATATTTTCATTTTTACATATGGCCGCACCTGCAGTCACTCCCACACTACTCGTCTTTCTCCTACGTGCATTTGACCTTGTTTCACGCTGGGGTGTATTTACTTCATGCGTCTCGCCAGATTTCCTTCTCTTTGATTCAGCTTCCTCTAGACGTGCATCCTTTTCTTTCTTTGGCGTTTTCATCCCACCTTCCTGTTTGATCCTTGTTTTCCTTTCTTTGGCCCCCTGGTGAGATAAAACTGATGTTGGATACACACGACTGTGCAAATGTCTTGAGCTACCCCTTGTTTCTATTTTTTTATTTATTTTTTGCTAGGGAAATGGGTGCAGCGATTTATTGAGATGTACAAACATACAGCATATAAGGCAAAAATGGAGTTTGTACAATTTGTTTGAGTGTAAAAGTGAATATTTGGTATGACCGCCTTTTATTCTTCAACACAGCCTGAACTCTCTTAGGCAAGCTTTCTTGTTGTTTCTTTAAGAAGTCTTCAGGAATAGTTCTTCAGACTTCCTGAAGAACATTCAAAGCTCTTCTTTGGATTTTTACTGTTGTTTGGGCTTGCTTTTAGCGAGCAAGTTATAAAGAAAAAAATGAGGGTTGGCTCAAGACTCTTGCACAGTAACATGGAGCTCACTGTTGGTCAAAAGACAGTTCATGCTCACCTTTTTCTTGTTTGTGTAATCATGGTCATCATCTTTCTTTGCCCACTTTTTTGCCTTGGGTGACTTTGAATCTTAAAAAATAAATAAATAAAAGTTAGTTAATGGACATTCTCATGTACATTTCACCTGAGCTGCTAAACTTCTTGAGAACATTACCTTTTGGTGCCATGGGCCCTGGATCCCCCTAAAATTATAAAGGTAGACACATAATTGTGTGATAAATAAAATCATCTGGCTTTGTTATGTTGCATTTCCTTTAAACTCACTCTGAACCATATCGTTCTCCCATTATGGTCCCGGAGTGTTTTCATCCCGTCCACATAGTAGCACTGCAGCCATGCCTCAAAGTCAGAGAAGTCCCGACTGGCTGGATCATATCCTTTCCCACCTAAAAACCACGAGTTGTTAAACACTGCGTTCATCTCATGAGCGACTCATACTGTAAACACTTGACTACCCACCGAGGTTCACCACTTCTAGAGGAACTGTATGACAAAGTCTGAGCAAGTCATCCATCTGGTGTTTCATCAGTTTATTTTTTGTTCTTACAGATGTCTTCTGAGAAGAATCAAACAAAGACACTGTGAAAAAGAGACTTGGTTTTATGGCGTTAGTTTTTTCCTTCTATTCTGAGTGCACGGAAACAATTTTGCAAGTGCAAATGTTGCATTTTGAGGAGAAAATTATTTTGAGGGAAGAACATTCATTGCTGTGTAAAATTTGTTTGCTATTATTCATATACACACACACACACACACACAATAACAGCCTTTCTCACCTAGTTGTTAGCATTTGCTCCGGCTCAGATCTCTGCTCTGTGTGCTGACAGACATCTGCAGACCTGCTCTCAGTGTGTTGCTCCCGTTGTCAACATGTCTGCTCCCTCCACACTCAACTCTTTCTCTACACCATTATAAATGTACCACAGAACCAACCAATCACAGACTTGGATGCAGAAATTCTGAATGGAGACCAAAATAGCCAATCAGCTCGCTAGCTACTGCATTCCGGGAACACTGTGCAAAGTGTAGCTAAACTCATTTTTGGTTAGTATGTTTAATTATATTATTTTAAAATATAATATAAAGACCATTTTTGTTTTTAATCTAGTTTAAACCAAACCACTCCACTGGGTTTAGCTACACTTTGGACAGTGTTTCTGGAATGCAGTAGCTAGGGAGCTGATTGGAGACCAAAACAGCCTATCAGAATTTTTTCCAAGTCTGTGATTGGTTGATTTTGTGGCACATATGTATGGTGTGTAGAGAGAGTTTTGCGTATAGGGGGCGGAGATGTTTTGAGTGTGGGCGCGACACTTTGATCTTTTGTGTGGATGTGTGTGTGCGCACAGAGCGGAGATCTGTGCGCGAGCGCATGTGCCCACCTGTGGGCCAGGGGTGTTTTTTTGTGTGTGTGTATATGGATAATAGCAAACACTGAAATACATTTCTTTCATGCAGCAAGGAATTTTCTTCGCTCAAATTAAACTTTTCTTTGCTCAAAATAATTTTCTCCTTAAAATGCAACATTTGTACTTGCAACATTTTTTTTATGTGAGCTCAGAATAGAGTCACAAAAATAACGCCATAGGGTTTGGGAAAGTTATGTAAAAATCACTTTTTTCACCTTCGCGTCTGACTCATTTTTCACAGGATTCTCATTTTGACATGAATCGTCCAGCCCAAGACCTTCCAGCACAGTTTTGGCAGCCACAAAGGGAGGGATGTTAGACCTAGAAAAAAAAAAAAGGAAAAGAACAGTACTGAAGGTCTTTTCTTTTAGGAAACAAAAACACTCTTGTTAGCTCTCTGATTCAACAAAACCTTGTGTAGTTAAGCCATTCATATCACTGTTACTGTTTCTACCTTCAGTCATCACTAATGAAACAATCCATTTGCCATAGTTAAGGTTTTCAATTATCTGTATAATGGATATTAGTAAAATTAAAATGTTTCAAAAATCCTGTATGATTTTTTTTATGTACGTTTACACAATAATCACCTGCTATCAGTCAGAATAAAAATGGTAGAGCAGAGTAAATCTTTCGAGGGGTAGAGATATGCACCTTACTTCAGATTTGGTGATAAGATAACAATTTACCGGTCGAGTGCAAAGATCTTGCTGTACATCCTCATAAGGTGCTACTGTCTAATTAGGTCAGTATGAGTGCGGCCCTCATGCTAATCTATGTAATGTTGTCTTTGCGCATCACCTGAAAAGGATCTCAGCCCTCAGGTAGTTTCCAATACCGTTGAAGTACTTCTGATTGAGCAGGACTTCACAGATGGGTCTGTCAAAGGCTCGGTCAGACACGTGTGACACAACATTCTCCCTGAAAATGTTTTTTCACTGATCAGTGTGGCCGTGCTACTGTATTTCGTTTAAGGCAGAAGATGCAAGTGACACTCGGCATCACTAACCTGAATTTTTTGTACTCAAACATAACGCAGGGACCTCTGCCAGGCTGCCAGGTCCCATTGGGCTCCCAGCTCCCAAACCTGCGTGGATCCACAAAGCTAAGTACTCTGCAGGGCTTCTCTTTGGAATAAAAACGCAGGTGGGCATGTTTGGGCAGCTCATCCTCGCTTGTGAAGCGGAAATAGCCTGACATCCCAAAGCGAAAGACTATGTCCATGGGATGTTCCACTTGTCCTGCTTTCACTCGCTGTTTTGGTTCATCTGTCTTTATGGGCGTCAGCGTGAGCTTCACTTCCTTCCCTCTGGAAGCAGCTGTGATGCGATAGGCCTCAGAGGTGAAGGGCACATCAGGGTTCTTGCTGACCTCTGACTTTATGACGGGACCACTGAACAGCACTCCTTCACACATTCTGTTCACATACAGGCTGGCCAGGTGGAGCTCTGGTCCCTCGGGCATTTTGGCTGAACAAATAAGGCTTGGCTGAAACTTCCAGAAATAAAACTTGTCATCAAATATTAGGTCAAAGCTTATGTCAAAAAACGTCACATCCAGGCTTATAACATTACTTCCACATAACGCATGTTTCAGAACCTTGTGTCCTCTATAGAGTGCAGGAGTATGGGTAAAACCTTCTCACTTGCAATCATGACTGTAAATGTTTACATACAGCTTTGGGGTTCAAAAAAAATAACACAATGCACATCTAAAAAATCTCAAAGCTTTAACATTAAACTTCAAACCTGAGGTTCTCCTGAATATGCTCTTAATCCAATCACAGCAAAATACTGCTCTGTGTATTTGCATAACCCAAAACATGTTGTCAATAATGGCAATGCTGCATCTTTATCAAGTTACAAGTACTCACCGAAACCAGGAAACGGAGCTCGGCGTTAAGTGCACTCAGCTTGTAGCGTTTACTGTCTGCACGGCAGCGGCTGCTGATATAAATTTATAGAGGATATGTCTTTGTGCTGAAACACCGTGCAGGTAAACATTTGACCGATGCTTTTATCGCACGCGTAACCAGCAGTGTTACAAAACGAGTTGTACAATCACCACGCGCCAGTCATTAAAATGTCGCGAGACCTGCACAACTGTGACAAAACCCACAATTTCTTGTTTATTTTTGGTCTAATGTGTATGTGTGTTTGTTTGGTTTTCATTCTTAGCTGTTATTATTTACTTAAAACGGCTAAAATAAATAAATTCCTAGCAAATAAACCGATGCATGATGGGAATTGTAGGCGCTGCGGAAACCAGGAAGTGATTTCCAACTTTTTTTAAATGTCTAATATCTTTGATCACATTGTTAAATTGGCTGTAATCAACATGATTTACGGTGGCGTTATATATTAAATAAATCATATGTGTCACAAGTATCTTATGGATTCGGTGTTATTGTACCTTCATTATAATCAATCCAGATACGTTTTACCTTGTTTTTATTTATAAGCATACAGAGGTAAAACACAAATAATTAACATAATTAAATGTGTTGAGTGATACAAGCAACATCTTTTTTAAACAATGATCATTATTTTTTTACTTCAGTAACAAATATCACACAATCTGGACACATTTCTACTAATTTTTACTAAAATGGTAGAAAAATACAACTAAATATCAGTTGAGAGACACAAGGAATTACATTTTTTAGGAAGAATACATAACACTGTACAACTTGTAAGTATGGCACTTTAGGCAGTTAATCATCATTATCATCGGTTTTCAGAAAGTGACGTCTGTTGTTCATTGTAGTGAGTTCATTAGAACCTGGGCTTGTTTGAGCTCTGAAAAAGTACAGAGACAAAAAATAACATCACAGGTCTGGCAAATTAAAAGACAAAAAAAAGGAAAGTATTTTAAAAGATGCTGAACTCACCAGCAAGCAACACTCTGAACTTGTCAGCAGAAACAGACACCACAGTTGTCTCTGGGGCACCTGATTCTGCTCCTTGCCTCTGCAGTTTAAGTTGAATTGTTGGTTGATTCACCTCCCTCAGTTCACTGGAGCTCAAAGTGTAGTCCACTCGCCAAGAAACAGAGTCCAGTCGACCCACTGATCACAAAGCAGAATGATGTCAGTGCTCAGTCATCAACTTCCTAGCAGCAGCCATCATTAATTTTCTCTTCTTTCTTGAATAGGAAAGGCAGAAACACTTACATCGCAGGCTTGTCTCTCTTAATTTCTCCCGCAGTGCAACGTGCTTGTCTTCGTAGGACTTGCACAGCCCTGTAGTGTGCTCTAAAGAAATATTGAGTAGAAAAAAATAATTTGAGTGTTTCAGCTGACGATTAGCTGAAGAACTAATTATTGTTACAAAGTCCTTAGAAGTATTTAATATTTATCAAATAAAATAAACCTTTTACTATTTCTGAAACATAACATACAATCTCAAAATCTCAGGCAGAAAGCCATCTGTCATTTTTATTTATAATGTAACAAACAAAAATCATGGTGAAACTTTGGGCTTCTTATTTTCCAAAGGGTGGACTGATGTGGCACAGATGGCCTTCCTGACTGTGGTTTATGCAGGGAGGGACCGCTGGAAGCGTGCTAGCTTGTGTCTCCACTCATCCTCAAAAGGGGGATTGTCCATGTGTAAGGCAAATGTGTTAACACCACTTTTATAGAGTTGTTGATACAGCAATGCACCACCCAGTCTGTAAATCAGCATTGCCTTTGTTGTTCATTATGTACTGCTTTTTTCTTTTATTGTCAATCCACATTCATAGAATGTAGTTAAAAAGGAAAGAACCAACACAACAGGCCATGAATAGGAAACAATAGAACAGAATAACTTTACTGTCCATGTTAGTGGAAAACTGTCTTTGCTTCACCAAGTCAAAAATCTATTCACAATATGAAAAACAATGATAATAATCAGCATGCGTTCATACACATGCATACGTTAAAAAAAATTAATTACAGAAATACATTACAGCTTCTCATTTTTCAGTATACCAGTTTCACTTGGCAAAAATGATCCCTTACACACCCATTTAATAGCTATAATATCCTCTAACATCATCCTGAGGACATTTGTTAAAAAAAACACAATAAATGATTTTGAACTAATGCAATACAGGAGTTTCTAAAAATCCTTCCTCTATTATACTTCTGTGCTCATACTCTAGAAATAAAATATTAAAATCCTGTAACATAAACTCTGCATTTAGCTGCTCTTGTTCCACATTATCCCCATGTGAGATATTTCCCCAGGATATTAGATGTTAGATTAAACTAGTCGCTTGTGTTTTTGTTAGAAAATCTGCCTGAATCTTGGCAAAGATTCAGGCATGAGAACAGATCGGTGCATATCAAGTTGTAGACTGTGCATTTATTTTTATACCAACCTTTGGACACAAACACAGGGGCTTACCTTTAGGCAGACCAAGCTGTTGTAGCTCACTGGATAGAGATTCACTGTCAACGTCATGCTTCGCTGCACTGGAGAAAATAAAGCTGAGCACTGCCACACTAGCTTTGATGTCTCCGCTCTCTGCAAAATGGTTTATTGACACAAAACAGCTTATCTGACAGAAATTGTAAAAAAAACAAAATTTAAGTTGAACAGTGTTAAAGACTTATGTGTAAGGCAAATTAGATAGACCAGGAATGCTGCACAACTTAGTCCATTTACAATGTGTAATCACTAATTTCTGTTCTTCCATAAAAAAAGAATTTTAATGCTGCTCCCCTAAAGCCAATTCTTGTGCACTTCTGAACCCCTTTGAGTGCTCTTGCTATGTTTTAATGACTTTCATGAAGTCCCGTTCTAACAACTCACCTGTCTAGCCACTCATTCATGATAAACTACCAAGTGGCACGGTGAGAAAACAGACTTTTGTGTCAAACTGACCCATTTGTTATAATCAAGATCATCACTTGTCATGCGATCTGAGTCTCTGGCTACTACCATGTGTCTAATCAGCAGTGTCAACAGGAAAAACATGCAGGCTCCAAGCTCAAAGGTCACACGTCAAGTCAGGAGCACAAACAACAGAATGAATGAGAATGAGGCCTGGCCACTGAATTCAACCCCTAAAGGTTTAAAGTGTTAAGACACTATTCAACTGTAATGTTCTCAGGGCCCAGAAGAAGAAAACTCACCACAAATGATGTGAAGTCAGGATTGTGCTATCATGCCTTTTGGCAACTACTAACAACACTATGAAAGCTCAGAACTTTATTTCCACACCAGCAAGATCAGCTTCAGGCCAGCAACCAGATTTGTTTGTTTTTTGTAGCTTTGTACTCTTCTCTAATATGAAATTAAGGTTTAAGAAGATATTCAATATTTTAATATGCTGGACTTTGCTGCTTTTTTAGACAGTGTTAGAAGCTGCACAGCACTACTTCCAGAGAAATTAACCTGAAGAGGACAATGTTCAAATTTAAATGAGGTAGGATTACTGCTTTTTAACAGGCATAGTCACAAAACCTTTTTATCAAGGACCAAGCAGCCAAAGACTTAGAGCCACATGTGTAATTTACAAAATCTGGGTTACAATATCTCCCCAAAAAGATTCAAAATAATATCAAAAATACACATTCATGGAAATAAGCTTGTACGGGCAGGGTGTGGTTTGTGACAGTTGCAGGGTAGGGGTGATGCAGCAATATCAGGGGGCAGTGCCACAGGAGGCTGGCTGGCAGTGATCACCTAATTAGGTCTCTCCTGTATTTTATGCGTTAGCATCTTGGGAGGGTGTGTGGAGAGAGGAGTCTGAGTTAGTGGCAGAGTAGCTAGACCTGTCCAGGGAAGCTCAAACAATAGCTATAGGTCAAGATTGTTTTCCACAAACAATGGTTTATTGCACAAATACTGTGCCTGCTGTGTTGTTTTGGAGTTGCTTTAACACTATTTTAAGAAATAAGTGGGCTCATAAAAAAGTCAACTTAATGAAACGCTAGTTTCATTATTTTGTTAAATAGTGTTTAACAAAATAATAGAACTCAACAAGCTAACTGATTCAAATGAGAGACACCTCAACCTACATAGTAACTGCAGAGGGCATTTGGTTGGCCTCTGCAATCAAACCAGCTCCACCCTCAGCCATCATTCCCCCCTAACTACCACAACAGTTAAATGTTGCGTCATTAACAAAAATAAATAAATAAATAAATAATTTCCATCTCAAATCATCAAATATATGTAACATTTTTCTGATCGATCATGCCAGATTTGCCTAAAAATGTTGCGATCCATAGTTTGGAGATTTTATATACATATCTTTTTTATATATTTTCATACTTTAAGTACATATTATAAACATTTTAAGTACATTGTCTTACATAGTAATTGCACATATTTACAGTTAATACATAAATATAAATAATGATAATAATAATAACAATAATAAATAAAGTGAACAAATACTTGTATTCCCCCAGGGAGGGTTACTGGTCAGTTAGGACAGGCAGATGTTATGATTGATCAAATGCACGAAGATCAAATATTATAGAAATGTAAAGTTGGAACTTCTAGAATCTTGAATCTAAATACAAAGAGCCAGTCATATGTCTGCAGACAGAAATGTTAAGCGCCTTGAAATGTAATTGTTGCATCTCTCTCAGAGAAACAACACAAGAGACACTTACCAAACTTTGCATCTGCAGTAAGCTTTCCAACTTTTTCATACTGTAAATGAAGCGAGAGAGAAGACACCACAGATGTGTGTGTTTCAAAACTACAGTCTACATATGATGAGCCTGTAGAAATGTCCAACAACTTACATCAATGCCCTCTCCAAGCAAATCCTTCAGCACTTGAGCACAAAGTAGCTTCATCTTGACACTTGACTGTTACATTAATGGAATAGAAAATATATTCGTTATAAAAAAAAAAATAAAATCAATAAACTGGTGCCAGTAACAACTTTATCTCTTATGGTTTCTTTTACTCACAATTTTTGCTAACGTGCTGATTTCGGCAAGTACCCAATCTGGGCAGTCCAAGTCTCCACAGAAACGGAACCGCTAGGACAAAGAGGGTCACTCATAAGTTCATACACTGTGCAAAAATTACAGTATTTACAGTCACAG